TATGTATGGATTTTGATGAGTTGAATGAGCCCCCAACAAAATGATTAAAAAAAGAAAAGAAAATGATGATAGCAACAAATGTACAAATGTGCCTGCCACAATGGATGTCTGTATGGCTTGTGATAAGAGCTGTATGTCCTCAATAAAATGATTACCAAAAAAAAAAAAAAAAGGCCCCAGGAAAGCAAACATCTGACCAAAGGCATAACATGGCCATTGTTGGAGTTCCCATTACCTGTCCTGTTCTTCCGTTTTTCTCGCTCAGCTTTCAGCTCCTCCATGGCTTGAGATTTCTTATCTAGTTTCTCATCCCGCTTGGAACGCCGTTCCTTGTTGTGGGATGTTACCTGGGAAGAAGAGGACATGTCAGAGGCCCCTACCAATGACTGGTAAAATCTCAATGAATGAGATTCTTTATACTCAGCAATTAATTGCACACAGTTGTCCAACAGCTGTCCTGGCTGCTGAAGCTGAGAAGCGGTATGTAGGAGGGAGAGCATCCTCTTGTGGACAAAGAAGATAAGGCAGACAAGCCACCTCGGCTCATCTATCTAATAAACAAGGTTGAAGAACACCTCGATCACAGCTACTATTTCTTGATACTGTCAGTAAAGCTTTCCTTGATGAATGCAGAGATGACTGACTTTCCCAGCTATATTTATTACCAATGTTAGATGACTTACGTTTGGGGAAATATCATAACCAAGCTGGCTATATGGGACAGGGTATTTACCAATGATCCCTTTCAGAGACCACCACAGGCCAGTGGGGTGCTTTTAAAATGTACTCTAAGGAGTGCAGCCAAATAGGGAATAATAAAATGTGTACAGAGAACAATGAAGTCTGGAATATAGACAGAACATAATAGTTTCGTATAACTGACCTACGCTAATTAATCTACCACCCATCTTTGACAGAAGCACGGACACAATCAAACAAAGGTTCAAATGCTTTGAATGAAGAGGATTCTGGAATTTCTTTTCTTCTTTTTCTTACCTGAGATTCTTGAATCTGGGTTAGTTTTTTCTTTTCCTGCTCTTCTTCTTGCTTTTTCTTTTTTTCTTTCTTTTCTTTCTTTTTGGCCGTTTTTAGCTTCTTCTTTATTTCAAATCTAGTTAAAAGATATTTGATTGTTTTATGAGGAGCAATGAAATACTTACAAAAACTTATTCTGGTAAACAAGCGGCCATCTAGCTCAGAAGCAACAAAGCCCACATGGAAGAAACACACCAGCCTGTGTGATCACGAGGTGTTGATAGGATCAGGCATCAAAGAACAATAACTCATATCATTGTGAATAAGGGGGAGTGCAGAGTGGGGACCCAAAGCCCATCTGTAGGCAATTGGACATCCCCTTATGGAAGGGTGGTGGGGGAGGATACAAGCCAGTCAGGGTGCGATGTAGCAAAGATGCAACATACAACTTTCCTCTAGTTCCTAAATGCTTCCTCCCCCCACTATCATGATCCCAATTCTACCTTACAAATATGGCAAGTCCAGAGGATGTACACTGGTACAGATAGGAACTGGAAACACAGGGAATCCAGGACGGATGATCCCTTCGGGACAAGTGGTGTGAGTGGCGATACCGAGAGGGTGGAGGGAGGGTGGGGTGGAAAGGAGGAACCGATTACAAGGATCTACACATAACCTCCTTCCTGGGGGACGCACAACAGAAAAGTGAGTGAAAGGAGATGCTGGACAGTGTTAAGATATGACAAAATAACAATTTATAAATTATCAAGGATTCATGAGGGAGGGGGAAGCGGGAGGGAGGGGGGGAAATGAGTAGCTGATGCCAAGGGCTTAAGTGGGGAGCAAATGTTTTGAGAATGATGAGGGCAACGAATATACAAATGTGCTTGACACAATGTATGCATGTATGGACTGTGATAAGAATTGCATCAGCCCCCAATAAAATGATTTAAAAAAAGAAAAAAAACCTTATTTCTGATATTTAGGGGACATAAAATGAGTAAGAGGAAGGAGTTAATAAACATTTTGCTTTTGGATAAGAAACACCAATGTGACTTAGGAGTACATGAAAAGCTGCCAAAAATATAGCAAAGGTCTTGGAAAAGCTTAAATGGAAACAAAGTTAAAATAAGAGAAACTATTGAGGGTACTGCTATTCTTGCCATTGACTTTTAGAAACAATCCACTCTCTCTCAACCTTGTCCCAACAGAAGAAAGCTGTTGCTTCCCGGATCAACCTGTACAGCCAATTCCAAAGGAATTCCTTAACTAACAAAATGCGGAAGAGCTCCACAGGAGCCAGGGTCGCATTTCAGATGGCCATGGTGAAGGCTGTAGTTTCAGACATCAATGCCATCTCTCTTCATTAGGAAAAACATATCCATCCACCACCCTTACAAACGTATGCACACATATGCTCTTTTCTTAATGAGATATAATCCAGGTTCTCTCCCCAAACCAAAAATCCCATTCTTCTGACTCAAATCAGGCTTTATGAATTTGGGATACTTTACAAACTAAAGAACTCTAATAAACCTTATTTTCAAATCTGTAAGTAATTCTGATATCAATTTTTAAAGCTTAGCTTTTAAATAATTCTATTTTTTTTCATTCTCTATTAAGGTTCCTAATGTATTTTTATTTTGGGATAAGGGAGTACTGTTATGAATTTACTTTTAAAATTAATAATGAACAACATATTCATAAGTGGATTTTAAAAAGAATTAAATCATAGAGGCATTTAGAAAATACTTTGAGAGGAATGAATATACAACATACTAAAATTTATGAGGTGCAGCAAAAGCAGGGCTCAGAGAAAAATGTATAGCTGTAAAGGCCTGCTTAAAATAAAGATTTAAAGCAATAAGCTAACCTTCTACTGTAACCCACTGGAAAAAGAAGAGTAAACCAATGTGAAACATGCAGAAGAACTAATAACAATAAGAACAGAAATTAAAGAGAAAATACAATAACAACAGAGATGAATAATGTAACCCAAAGTTCATTCTTTAAGGAAAAAAAAGTCAAAATTGACTTATAGCACATTACAACACAGATAAACCTTGAATACACATTGAATAAGCCAGCCACAAAGGGCCACATAGTACCTTACTATTTATATAAAATGTCTCACTCACTGCCATCAAGTCTGACTCACAGCAACCCTGTGGTAGAAGTGTCCCTGGGAGTGTCTAAGATTACAACTCTTCACCGGAGTAGAAAGCCTGTCTTTCGTCTTCCTCCAGCAGAGCTGGCGGGTAATTTCTAATGGTGCCGTTTCCAGGCCAGCATGTAGACACCACCAAGGCTCCTATAAAATGTCCAGGCAAATCTCTAAAGACAGGTCAGTGAGTGCTAGGGCCCGAGGGACTCTGAAGGAAAGAGAGAGTGATTGCTCTGAGGGATGAAAGTGTTCTACAATTGATTGTGGTGATAGTTGCACACTTTCGTAAAGCCCAATTGTATACTTTAAATGGGCCAATTGTAGAACATCGGACACATCTCAATAAAGTTATTTTCAGAAGTTAACAAGTTTATTATTAACTTATTATGTTAAGTTACTATCTTACTCAAGGACTGAAGAGCGAGGACTTCAGGCAGGCCCAGAGTGTGTGACTCATTCAGATTGGTCAGTAAATTTAGCCTAGCACCCTCTTCTGTTCTGTTGTGCATAAGGTTGCTACAGGCTAGAACTCACTCGATGGCACCTAACTACAATAGACTTTCTTCTGCCTAGAACTTCAGTGCTTTCTACAGCCAGGCCACCTTTACTGCAGCGTGCCCATACTCTGTTTCCCAAAAAGAAAAGAGGGAGGAGCAGCCGAAGGACAGGTAAAGCGCCTACCAACTGAAAATCACAATGCAGAATTGGTGCATACCAACACAAATAAGATGGACTCTCGCGTTTCTGAGTTGCTATAAATGTACTGCTTTACAGTTAAACACATGAGCTACAAAATTTTCAATTGTCATAAAAGACACTCAACTTTGGCCTAATCATCATCCTAAACTGCCTTCTAATTACTTAAAAAAAAAAAAATCTCTCAACCAGTCAACTGCCTCATTCATGTATAATAAAAACAAAAGCCAGGTTTGAGGTAAGGCCCCATTACACTTGAGCTACTTGGAAATTTCACTACAGGGCTTAACTGGCCTTATATGTACGCCTCTTGTGATATTCTCCAAGGCTTTGAAATAAAACACAAATTTTAGGGGTCACCCCTGACCATGTGGCAGCTCCCACACAGTTGAATTCCTGTTTGTTCCAATACAGGAAACCTTGGAAGCATTCATACTCAAACAAATGCCTATGCTAGCTGCTGCCTGAGAGGCAAACAGCCTTGTGCAGGATAACTCACGATCTCCAGAAGGGGCCACCACCTGCCCAGATTACATGCAACAAACTCACCAAAGAAAACGCCGCCATTTCTCTCCAATGACAGCAGAAGTAAACTAGGTAGGGGAGGCTTTTAGTTCTCAGGATCAAGCTGAAGAAAATGCTTCCATTTTTTGCATCGTTATTAGAAATAAACTATGTAGGGAAGGATCTTGTACATTATTTTAAACAATTATTGGATTCAGATGCTAGCTAAAGCAAGGCAATTTCATTATTTCCTCACTACTCACCAGAAATCAAATTATCTATTAATTATTAGCTGAAGGAAAAAACAAAACACCTTTTTACAATTCTTCAAAATGCTACAGTTATTGTGTAATAGAATAGGTACAGTATTAGTCCTGTAAACTAATTTCTTCCCTGAGTCTTGGATTTTTGCTTTTTTTTTTAACTTCCCTATCCAAAAGTCAAATTTACTTTTGCCACAAAAATCCATTAAAATAAGAACTTGGCCACTTTAATCAGGCAAAAGCAATTCAGAAAATGTAGTAAGCTTCAGAATATTAAAAAAGCAATTTAACATGGTACAACATAAAAACGCCACACTGTAAGGTAATTTGGATATCTAGTAAGTAATAAAGAGAAATTCCAAGTCTTGAATCCTGTAAAGCCAAGGTTTTAAAAACAAAACATTACTGTGTTTTCTGGAAATTAAGTTCTTACTTACCAATTTCTGTACAAATTGTTCAGTGACACTGGTCATATTTTCTACAGTCTATCAGCATTCTCATAATTCCACTTTTAGTAAGCTGCTTCCCCTGCCCTCTTTCCTTGACATCCTTGCTTTAAGAGTAGTTGTTAAACAGAGCCACCAGAATGGAAATAATGAGACAATGCTGGCACATTCTGATAAGTGTAACCAATGTCACTGAATAATATATACAAAAAGTATAAAGTGAGAACCTATTTTGCAATGTAAATTTTCATCTTGTAAGGAAAAAAAGAAAACCGCTCTAAGATGCTTCAAAATGCTATGTGTAGTGACTGTACAGTAAAAAAGCAGAGGAAGCAGAAACAGATGTTGCCACATGTTTTATGGAGTCGGTACTCGTAGGTTTGGAATCCAGTTCTTACCATTTACCAGCTAACTGACCTTGGCCAACTGCTTCTTCATTCATTCAACAACGATTTACTGCACATCGATGTGCTAGGCCCTGTTCTAGGTGCCAGGAATAGAACAGTGAACAAAACAGATGAAGTCTTTGCCTTCATGTAAGGGTACCACCCCACCCTTGGTCACTTCATGGTTTTCTAATCATTTGATTGGGGGCTTGTACAACTCTTATCACAATCCATTCATCCATCCATTGTGTCAAGCACATTGGTACATTTGTTGCCAACATCATTCTCAAAACATCTGCTTTCTATGTGAGCCCTTGGTATCAGCTCATTTTTCCCCCTCCCTCGATAATTTATAAACGATTATTGTTTCGTCATGTTTTATACTGTCAGATGTCTCCTTTCATGCACTTCTCTGTTGTCCATCCCCCAAGGAGGAGGTTATCTGTAGATCCTTGTGATCGGTTCCCCCATTCTACCCCACCCTCCCTCCACCCTTGGGTACAGTGAACCCTCATTTATCGCGGTTAATCGGTTCTAGACCCTACCATGATAAATGAAATTCCGCGAAGTAGGATTCCTTATTTGTAAATCAAATATTTTCGTAGTTAGAGCATAGAGGACATGAAAAAACACCCTTTAGTCACCATTACACTCGTATTACCCAATTTATTAAACGAAAAAGGGAAAATACAGTAAAACATTTTGGACGTTACAATTATCATTTATTATTTATTATATTATTTATGGCATCAAGCGTGTACAGTATGAGCCAATCAGTGGCAGTAATGACAGAGCATGCGCTGTTACGCAAAAACCGCGATAGAGTGAAGCCGTGGAAGTCGAAGCGCGAAGTGGCGAGGGTTCACTGTACTTCATGTTCTTAAGCCTAAATGTCCACCCTAACTTTTCATCATACAGCCAACTTAATGGGAAGTTATGTAGATTAAATAAGGCAGTACAAGCAAGCAATTTCTCAGGGCTATCTTGTGAACAAGGCATGTTAGCGAAATCAAATGTATGAGTAAACAGTAAAGGCGATCGTGTAAGCGCATCATTTGCTTCTCATTATGGTAATACATCATGGTAGATCAAGTCAGATGTGCGCTAGGCATACCTTCTTTTCAGCACCTCCCTCTTCTCAATGCGGTTAAACAGTTCTTGCTCTCGCTCCTTCTCTGTCATCTGCTCCAGACGGGCCCTGTCCTCTTCATCCCCCATGAGGTCCTCTCCGTAGCCATCATGGAACTCCTCGTCTTCCGAGGAAGAGTCTGAATCTGAGCTGGAGGAGGAGCTGTTACTGTCAGAATCTGACACTTCACCTGCAACCAAGGCACACAAGCAAGATTAGGCTGCTGCTGTGGACAGCAGGCCACAGGTGCCCCTCCAAATGCCGTCGTCCTCACTGTGCTGCACCTAGACAAAGGGCACAGGGTCGCCTCAAGTTCACGGGAACCAGCTCTCACTCTGCTTTTACTAAGTACAAACACAGATCGGGAAATTTTACGCTGGAACAAGACACTAGCTTGCTTTTTAGAATTCAATTTTTTTTTTTCAAAAAATTTCCAACCTAGAAAAAAGTTGCAATAAATACTTTCTCATACATTCTTTACTTAGATTCACCCATTGTGACAACTTACTTTCTCTGCCTTTCTGTATTAAAGCATATAAATATTATGTTGCTGAACCAAATTAAGAGGAAGTTGCAGATATCATGACTTCAGCACTACATACTTATTCTAAAAAGGATAATTTATAATATCACTAATGATGTAATTATTGAATTCAGAAAATTTAACTTGGATAAAATATTATATTCACTCAAAGATTACTGTTATTATTGTTGTTAAAGGGCTGTTTATATAACAGTATTTACCCCTGGTGCCTTTAAACCTTATTTTTTAAAAAAGTTTTATTGGCACACAACCCACATATCTATATCTATTCACATTCAATTTTGTTATTTAGCCCCATTGAGTGAGGTTATACAATCATCATTTCTATAAGCTCCCTAACCCTCCTACTCCCATTCCCGTACCCTCAGGGAACCATTACTCCTTTAACTATTTCTGAAGGATTATCTATTTTGATTTTCATATACTGAACAAATAATCTTAAATATACAAACGAACATATGCAATCTAACTAGATTAATGGGTTAAAAGTTCAAAGTAACTACCCTGTTTCCCCAAAAGTAAGACATCCCCCAAAAGTAAGACCTACTTACAGTTTTGCCTCTCGCTGAAGCCATTCTACAATGCAAGCACCCATGCCCACTCCTACGCCCCCATTTCTCTGCATTTTCAACTTGACGAGAGAGGAGGTTCAGAGTCTGACCGCCCAGCTCACCTTCCTCGGGGGCTGAGCTCTCGGCGGAACTGTCCTTGTCCGAGCTACCGGAGGAGGCGGCTTTGCTCGCCTGCTTCTTCATGGCGCCTTTCTTTTCTATTTTTCTGCCTTTTCCTTTCTTCTTATTTTTATTGCTGCCGAATGTCCACTACGAGGAGGAGGGAAAAAGAAAACACCGAAATAAGAGTTGGAGAAAACTGGAACATTTTTTAATTGGGGAAAAATAGAAGATTCAAGAATTTTAAAAGTTCCTCGGGAGCCCTGGTGGCATAATGGATTCTGTGCTGGGCTACAAGATCAGCAGTTCGAGACCAGCAGCTGCTCCGCGGGAGAAAGAGTGGGCTTCCTCTGCTCCACAGACTGATACCCCTGGGAGCCCCCGGTACACTGCACTCTATCCTGCAGGGATGCCAGGAGTCAAACTTCACTGTTTGCTAGTCTGTGATTTAATAGAAGATAGTAGATAATTTATCGATTTTAGGGCAGGTCAATTGAGTGAATTAAAAAGTTGGTGGAGGAAATTAGCTTTGAATATTTTCTAGGGCAGAAAGACTGCTATGTCTGGGTTCCAGATGACAGGGAAATTCTGGAGTGAGTCTTGGGGATACAACAGAGGAACACAGCTTATTCTCTGGAGAAGAATGAGGAAAAGCACAGAAAAAGGCCACTTTCTAACACATGGATCGTGGCACTGGTAGGAACCCAGGGAAGCAAAAGAGTAAAGTTAACTCAATCACTACATATAGCAAAGCATATATGTGGATCTGAGTGCAGACACACACCCACAAATTCTCTATACACTGTAACTGCAACATACTGCAACAAATCAGTAGGATTATATGGACGAGAATCTGTGTATGTAAACAGGAAGCGCCTGATATTTACAACATCAAAGTAAAAAGGAAGGGGGCGTGGCCTTCTCTCTTCACCATGGCATGTGCTCGTCCACTGATATCAGTGTCCTCTGAAAAGGGCGAATCATGTGGCAAAAATGTTACTTTGCCAGCTGTGTTCAAGGCTCCCACCTGACCGGATATCGTGAATCTTGTTCACACCAACCTGTGCAAGAACAACAGGCAGCCCTATGCTGTCAGCGAATTGGCAGATCATCAGACCAGTGCTGAGTCTTGGGGTAATGGCCGAGCCGTGGCGAGAATTCCTAGAGTCCGGGGTGGTGGGACACACCGTTCTGGCCAAGGTGTTTTTGGAAATATGTGTCGTGGAAGTCGCATGTTTGCACCAACCAAAACCTGGCGCTGTTGGCATCGGAGAGTGAACACAACTCAGAAGCGCTACGTCATCTGTTCAGCCCTGGCTGCCTTTGCCTTGCCAGCCCTCATCATGTCTAAAGGTCATCGCATTGAGGAAGTTTCTGAACTTCCTTTGGTGGTCGAAGACAAAGTAGAAGGCTACAAGAAGACCAGAGGCAGTTTTGCTTCTTAAGAAACTGAAGGCCTGGAATGATATCAAGAAGGTCTCTGCCTCTCAGAGAATGAGAGCGGGCAAGGGCAGAATGAGAAACCATTGGCGGATCCGGCGCAGGGGACCGTGCATTACCTACAACGAAGACAATGGCATCATCAAGGCCTTCAGGAACATCCTCTGCTCAACGTCAGTAAACTCAACATTTTGAAACTTGCTCCTGGTGGGCATGGGGGGCGTTTCTGGTCAGTAAACTCAACATTTTGAAACTCGCTCCTGGTGGGCATGGGGGGCGTTTCTGCATTGGGATGAGCTGTATGGCACCTGGAGGAAGGTAACTATAACCTCCCCATGCACAAGATGATCAACACAGCCCTTATCAGAATCTTGAAAAGCCCTGAGATTCAATGAGCCCTCCAAGCACCTGGCAGGAAGCAAGCTTCATCGCAGAGTCCTGAAGAAGAACCCACTGAAAAACCTGAGAATGATGTTGAAGCTCAATCCATATGCACAGACCATGCGCAGGAACAACATTCTCCAGCAAGCCTGCAACCAGAAGCTCAGGGTGGCTAGGGTGGAAGCAGCATTAGAGGTCAAATCGGATGAGAAAGGAGTTCCCCGCCAGAAGCCGCTGGTGGGGAAGAAAGGAGGCAAGAAAGTAACTGTGGTGAAGAAGCCGAAGAAGCTTGCCCCCGAAGAAAAGAAGCCAGCTGCATGAACACTTCCACTTTATGCCCTGGGAAGTTGTCTTTTGGGCAGCTTATTTTGAATAAAGACCTGCTCGAAACAGCAGTGGGAAATACTGCTAAAAAAATAGGTAGGCAAATACAGTTACCCAAGGTCAAAAATATAAAAAAAAAACAACAAAACCCATACTGTTGAAAATGAAAGAGATCGGAGTAGAGAGCCATCTGTAGACAAAAGGACATCCCCTCACAGAAGGGTCACAGGAAAGGGAGAATCAACCACGGCGCATATAGCACTGATGAAACACAATAGTCCTTTGGTTCTTGGAGGTTTCCTCACCCCCCACTATCATGACCCCCATCCTGCCTTTCACTGTGGGCTAGACTGAAGCATGTACACTGATAAGAGCTCAGGACACATGGAATCCAGGAACAGAAACTGGAGTACAGCTACCAGGAGGGTAGGGAGAAGGGGAGGGGAGGAAGGGAGAACCAATTGCAATGATCAACCCAGACTCCCCCACCTAGGGACGAACAACAGAAATGTGGGTGAAGGGTGACAGAATGATGTAAGATATGAAAGTAATAATCTATAACTTATTAAGGGTTCATGAGAAAGGGGGTAAAAAGAGGAGCTGATACCAAGGGCTCAAATAGAAAGTAAGCGTTTAGAAAATAATGAGGGCAAAAAAAAGGGGTGGGGGGGAAATGATGATGGTAACATATGTACAAATGTGCTTGATATAACTGATGTATGGATTGTTTTATGAGCTGTAAGAGCCCCCAATAAAAAGGTCTTTAAAAAATCATCATTATGCTGAAAGACTATATAACCCAAATTTTAAAGTACCAAAGACTATTTTACTACATTAAACAATATTCTTTTGGGAGAATAATTTCAGTAAAAAATACTTTGGAATTTTATTCTATCAGGATCAAAAATTGAATGACATATTTGGTATTAACAAATAGATTCTTCTATTGATCAAAAGGACAAGTCTTTGCACCTTCTACAGTTATGACAACACATGAGTCCTCTACACCTCACACTAGCCAGGGTGTAAGGGGATTTATGTTGGGCCTTTTATTTTGGGGAAGATATGGGAGAAGGGGTTCTTCTGAAGACATTTTTATCTTAGATATTGCCTATTTGAGGTATTTTTGAAGATTCACAATCTGCTAGTTTACTTTGATAGAATAATATCTTTGGTTTTCATTTTAATTTACTATTGGTTATTTCAGTTGTTACTTTATTTTTGTTCTCAAAGGTTAGGTAGAAGCAAAAGTAAAAATAAAGCAGCCACATGTTCTATAAACTAATTAAATGGATAATGACTTCTATGGATAATTTTTCAGACCAATTTGAAAGAAATCCAAGGGAGGCCAAGCCAAAGTGTTCAATTTCTTAGACAACAGAGATAAAAATATATCCACTTCAATGCCAATAGTACAGATATTAACTAAGTCAATAATGTATAAAACATCTTCTGCATTGGCTCTTGTTACAGAAAACAACACAAATACGTATATAATTTCCACGTGCTTATTCGATTCACACACTGAGCATGTTACCTGAGAAGCTGGGCCGGATCAAGAAGAATGCGGCACCAGAACTGAAGGAACACTGCATACAAACTTGCTTGCTGAACGTGAAGAGGATTTGAAGTATTTGCCGAAGAAAAGCAAAGACTACAGTCTTCACTATGGATTAGAGCACAACATAAATAATTGGGGCAATAAGCAACCATGAAAAACAAAGAAAAGACGAGCTGTCGTGTTACTTGGACCCACAATGTCCACAGGAGCCACAGGCCAGAAACCAAACAGTATATTGCACTAGCCATCGCTCGTCTTTCTGTTGTCCTGTGATGGCTTCTGTGTTGTTGTGACCCCGGAAGCGATGCCATCAGTATTTCAAATGCCAGCAGTTACTCAGGGTGAGCAGGTTCAGTGGAGCTTCCAGATGAGGACAGGATAGGAGGACACATGTGGTGACCCACTTCTGCAAGAGCAACCAGAGGAAACCGTGTTCGTAGTAGCACAGCAGGGTCAGAAGATGAGTCTCTCAAACCGAAGGCCCTCAAAAATGGAGGCAGAGCCACCGCCTCCAAGTACAGTGCATTTTAATGGTACAGATGGAGGACGGCCTTAGAGACGTTCATCTGCTGATGTGGCACAGCTCAAAATGAGAACCATCTGCAAGCACCCTCGGTAACTGGAAGGTGGAACACACGAAGTATGAACCTAGGAAACCTGGAACTTGTCAAAAATGAAATGGACCGCACAATGATTACTATAGTAGGTATCGGTAAGCTGAAATGGGCCGCCATTGGCTACTGGTCTACTGTGTTGGGAATGACAAAGGTGAATGATTCATTATCAAAGAGAACATTTGAAGATCTATCCTGAAGTGTAATGAAGGACTAATTTCCATAAGCCTACAAGAAAGATCAGTTAATACAACTATTATTCAAATTTATGCAACAATCATTAATGCCAAAGATGAAGCAGTTAAAGATCTCCACCAATTTCTGCAATCTAAAACTTATCGAACATGCAATCAAGATGCACTGTAAATGAATAGTGATCAGAACTCAAAAGTGGGAAATAAGGATTCATATTTGGAAAATATGGCCCTGGTGATAGAAATGACACGGGAGATTGCATAATAGAATTTTGCAAGACCGGTGACTTGTTTATCGCAAATTTTTTTTTTTCAAGAGCATAAACCGTGACTACACATTTGGACCTTGCTGGATGGATTGCACAAGCATAACATGCAGTAAGAGGCTATGGGAAATTCAATATCATGAGTTGGAACAAGGTCAGGCTGATTTTTGAACAGACCATCTTGAAAAGAACATGCTCCAGTGTTAAGTTCAAGTTGAAGCTGAAAAAAATTTTTTAAAACAAATCCCAAGATTGAAAGTGCAACCTTGAATATATCCCACCTGCACTTAAAAGCCACCTTCAGAACAGCTTCGATATACTGAACTCAGGTGACCAAAGACCAGATGGGCTGGAGAGTAACATCAAGGAA